GATGTACGAATCGAGTGCGAAGTAACAAAGAAACAAAAAAAAAATGATGAAGAAGAAGAACATGATGATGATGATAATGAAAAATAATAACAAACGATATGATTATACATAATGATACCATAGAGTCTATATCACAACACATAGCATAATAATATATTGCTAGCATGTACATTGTTTATACGAGAAAAGAAAAGTTTTGGAGAGAGAGGAAGAGAGAGAGAGAGAGAGAGAGAAGAGAATGAATGAATGATGAAGAGTTGATCGTTGATGATGGTGGAAACGATTTTTTCCGCGATGAATAGGTATATATATTCAGAAGACGAGGCTTGGCATTTGCGCGCGTCCGGGTTTTCTTTTTTCGCGAACTGGCAATGAAAAAGGAAAGAGAGAAAGAGAGAGAGAGAAAGGAATAAGGAAAGGAGAGAAAAAAGAAATGCGTAGTAGCAACGTAGAACGTTAAGTAATGTAAAAGTAAGCAAGGCTAGTTGGTAGTAGGTTGTAGTAAGTCAGTGAAGCTAGGCTAGGTGACCGAGTTCAAGTGCAAAGCCTTGTGCCTTCAGCAGCGGACATCGGCTCACCGAAAAAAAAAAAAAAAAAAAACGAAACCATGAAATTTAACCGTCCGTTTTAATTTTTTAATAATAAAAAAAAAAGATGAAAAAATCAACAAAATCAAGCAAAATATTAAGTAAATCTTGTGCAAACGTGGGAGAGAAAGCTTTAGAACGAGAGAGCGAGAAAAAGAGAGAAAGAGAGAGAGAGAATCAAGAGTGAAAGAGCGGGAGTGCGTGAGAAATGGGAACTGTTAAATTGCGTTTACACGGTGAGAAAGGATCGAGAGTGAAAAAGATCAGGATGTAAGAATGACCGAGTGAATGAACGAGTGAACACCGAACTGGAGTGAGAAAGCAGATTTCGCAAGAAGCTGACAGAGATTGGAATTAAAAAAAAAAAAAAAAAAACAAAAAGAAAGAAAGAAAGAAAGGGAGAAGAAGATCTTTCCGAAAGAAAAGCACGAAACAAAGTCGCGCCGGATCAGCTGCAGACGGATTTTGTTGTAGGAGGGGTGATGATACGCTTCGACGTGTTGGGTCTCCAAGATTAACCAGACCCTGGGACATACATACAATGCTAGCATTAAAAATACACATACTTGAGATCGTTGAGAGCAAGAAGGCTGATGGACGAAGCTGATACTGAGAGAGTTGAATCTCTCAATCAGCGGACTTTCCAGTTGGCTCATACATGAACAGAGAGTGACGGAAGCACGTACACACATACACGCGCGCACGCACTTAGTTTCACTGGAGAATCGGCAAATTCGAGAAAAACACGGGCGCATACACACACACCGGGGACACCAAACGTGAGCCACACACTGTACACTAAGATTCTCAATGTTGTAACACTGTAACTCTATGCTATTAACGTGATCGTACGCCAGTTGTAATTCCGTAGTAAGTTAAACGAAGCAAAACCAAAAAAAGAAAAATGAAAAAATATGAAAAAAAAAAAGAAAAAAAATGACAAATGATGTGCGTGCAGAATTTCGTCAAGTCTAGGGGGGAAAAAATAAAAGAGGAGAAGAAGAAGAAGAAGAAGAAGAAGAAGAAGAAGAAGAAGAAGAAGAAGAAGCGAGAACCAGGCGATTTATTTTGGCGACGCAAAAACTTGGACGAAGGGACGACGTGCAAAATGATGAGACTGGATAACACGTAGAACGATGGACGAGAGGAAGACTTACTAGTACTTCGCCTAGAGCAGAATAGAGACATCCTATAGACACCGTGTTTTACTATTGTACAGTTATACAGCTGAATGATTCGCGAAATAATTCAAGCGGCACGTTACTATATATCGAAGTAACATCGTTTTATCTCCGAGTCTGGTCGTTCCAGGGCTCGAGAAGGATTTCATGTTCGATACTCGAGACGAGTCACGTGACCCGATACGATCACCACCAGTCGTCACGTCCATTAGGTTACGATATTCCTCGATCGCCCCGGATCGACCCGGTTCGGACAGGGACAATCGAGACGTCCCGTCGAGTCTACGATGAAAGATCTACAAACTAACGCCGCAAGGCAGACACTGCCACATCGCAGAACATCGTAGAAAGAACCTTTGACGACTATTTGCGAGACAGAACTGTTGGAAGTTGAGAAAAAGACACCCAAACCATCACTATCATCGCCTACCAATGTGATTGTTTGCTCGAAGTAATTCACATTGTTTCTCCAGACGTCAGCGAGATGATGACACCTCTAGGAACTTGATCAGTGTTTCGAACCATTGCTGGAAGCCGATATATATATATATATATGTTTGAATCTGAAGACGACCAATTGGAACGACCAAATTTGAAAACAAGAGGATGGTAGTCTGTCTGTCGGTAGAATATTTTTTGAAACGATGGCTCCAGCAATGAGCAGAGACTGAGGAGGCCCAGATAAAGACACCAGACATGTTTGCACACACTTGTACTCCGCGTTTATTTTACCACGAAAATACACCAAGTGGTTTTTTTTTTTTTTTTTTTTTTTGGACATCGCCGTTTTTGCTGAGAGAGAGAAAGAGAGAAAGAGAGAGAGAGAGAGAGAGAGTCAGATTGGAACGGAAGGATTTTTTTGAAGCACGACGACATTGCCTATTGTATACATCTGTAAAAGTAGCTGACAGTCGTCGATCCGTGGTTGACAAAACGTTGGTTTGGTCACGGGTCGACGACGAATTAACAGAGTTTTAACGTTTAAGCGTACTGCACCCGGGTAGCTTGTAAAATCTACTTCCTTTCGATTGTCGGTGAACATTCCGCAGAAACGTTTCACTCGGTTAAATTGTTGAAGAATTGTTGAGGTCGTTCTCTCACATGTAGACTGACGTTTAGTTCGGAATTGGAATCAGCTTTGGTTAGAATGATCAAGTTCTGAGCAGGATACGCTACTTTGTATTTAGTTAATACAATCTGTCTTTAACCTGTTGACTGAAATCTTGTATTCCTATACGTTCATCGATTTTAGAAAAAATGTTTGCGCATTCGTAGGAAATTCAAGAAACTTTTTTCTCAGCCTGGAGAGACAAAATGATCAAGGGGGGACTTTTTGGACAATGGGTAGATGAAAATTCTAGTTGTAATTTTGTAATATTAGCTACGTTCCTCGTTTGTTCTTGTTATATTTACGAAATAGAGAAAAATTTTATAACAGTAGTTTAACTATTTGGCACTTGTACCCGCCACAGATAGGAAGACCCATTTTTCAAGAAGCTTCTCAATTATCTTTCAAATGCGATTTTTAAATTGCATAATTCTAAAAAAAAAAGAGAGAAAGAAACACGATTAACAGGTTACTAGAACAGATTCATCTATAAATGTCGACTCTTTTTCCAGGGAACTTGATTGTTTTCACCAGAGAAAGCAAAAAAAAAAAGTACCCATACCGATCATAATTTACAATTCTAGAACTTGATCATGCCTAACCGAAGACGGTAATCGTCCGTTGGATGATTCAATGCCAAAGCGAAAATCGTGCAATACAAACAAAAAAAAAAAAAAA